TGTTTTACGGGCATGTATGGCTATCTGATGTTATGTGGACATGTATATGAACGTATATAACCATATAAAGTTATAAAGGCCATCTTAAACTAAGGTCATATGTTGTATGGCCAACTTCCACTACGTTCATATAGACATGTATGACCATCTCAAGGGTATCATGGAGATGAATGTCCAATCCCCCCAGAATGTCGAAGTCAGACCTACAAGAATGGGTTTAGTCATCGGTAGCGGAGCTTTGTGTATTGCGATACATCAGACGTATTTGTCATCTCCTCCATAAGAACAAAAAATATGGTGTTGTTTTTTACTCTCAAACTCGCTTTTGTATAAACTGTACTAGTGATTTCATTAAAAAGCTTTTTTTTTGTTTTTTAATTTACATTTTAAAAATTTAAATGTAAAAAAAAAATAATGAAATACATTTCCATTTTTAGAAACTAGTTTAAATTTTGTCAAAGATAACGTATGTATGAGCGTGTGGTGTTGGAAGAGGTTTAAAAGTTTTAATAAGAGAAGTGGCACATTAATAACAGGCCGGGAACCGCTGGAGAGCCAAGGGAAGACAGAATAAGACCACGCAGAATGTAACATTGCAGGAAAATGGAACATACGGAGGGGATAACGAGATTAGATGGAATAGACACGAGAGGCCCCCGGCAGCGAGGGCGAGAAAAGTATCGGAAATTAAAATGTATTGGTGGAAAATGAAAGTGTCTTGGGCTTTGTCCGGCCCGCTCTATTTAGTTCTACCAATTTGCCGCGCTCATATTCTTTTATTGTGTTGGCGTCTTCTTTCTTTTTTTAAACCTTGTTTTTTTGTGTGGATGACCTAATTGCTTTTTTCTTTCATTCTCTGTAGGTTTTAGCAATCTAAATTAGCTGTTTCTCTATCTCCTTCCTTTTTGGGTTATCAATATAAGCCCGTATATTTGTGTCCCTTCTCTGTTCAGAAACAATCTCTAGATGAACACAGCGTTCACAGATTTAGACAAGTAATACAAAATTACAAATGAATTTATATTGATCACGACGAATAATCAAAAGAAACTCAAAATATAAATAATTTTTGCTGACGAGAATGTTGAATATTTTAACGGATTGATAATGTAAACAAAATGGATGCTTCTATTTCAAGAAATAATTATGACGATTATTTTTTTTTATAAATAAAATTCTGGAGATGATACCCACGAATTATTTATCCCAGCCGTTTTTTTCACAACCGTTATATATATATATATATATATATATATATATATATATATATATATATATATATATATATATATATATATATATATATATATATATATGTAGGTATTATATAAACATATGTATATACAATATGACTCATATAACAGCCAGTGCATGCACACATTCTCCAGTCCACCATCCCAATACAAATTGCACGGAACTTATTTTTAACTCATCAGAACACACTGCACCAGGGACTACATAATGTCCTAAATCTAAAGGTCAAACGGGAAAGTTTAATTGTGACGTCAGTGGGCTGTATGTAAACAAAAATGGTGTCTGTCTGGTGTGTGCGGTGTAACGTCGCGAGGATGACGGACAATGACGTCTGTGTATGGTTGTTGGACAGTTAGAGTGGTGTTGGTCGGTGTGTGTGTGTGTGTGTGTGTGGTGTTGCTTTATGTGTGACGTGATTGTGTGTTTGATGTTGGTATGTGTGGGGGATGTTGGTCTGTGTGGGGGATGTTAGTCTGTGTGGGGGATGTTGGTCTGTGTGTGGTGTTGGTCTGTGTGGGGTGTTGATCAGTGAGGGAGGTGTTGGTCTTAGTGTTTTGTGTTGTTGTGTGTGAGGGGGGGGTGTTTATCTGTGTGTTGTGTGCTGGTGTGCTGTGTTTGTTATGTGCTTGTTCGTGTGTGGTGTGATGGTGTGTGTGGTTTGCAGGTGTGTTACTCTATTTGTTGTGTGCTTGTTCGTGTGTGGTGTGCTGGTCAGTGTGTGGTGTGCTGGTCAGTGTGCGAGGTGTTGGTCTTAGTGTTTTGTGTTGTGTGTGAGGGGGGTGTTTATCTGTGTGTGGTGCATTAGTGTGTTGCTCTATTTGTTATGTGCTTGTTCGTGTATGTTGTGCTGGTCAGTGTGTAGCATACTGGTGTGTAAGAACAGTGTCCGTGTTAAATGCTTAATGTCCAGCCGTCTATAGTTGTGTTCGAACTGAAAGCCAGTGCGTGATTTAGTGGCCAATTGTGTTGTCTTCTAAGAAAATATAAAGTTTGACGTTCATTTATTTCTATCGGTGTAATACAAGCGATTGAAACAATAGTACCTGATATTAAAATTATCCGAATCTTGCTACGTCTACACATTACTCCATTACTTGAAAAAAACTAAAAAGTATTCTTTAAAACTGGTATTCGTTTTAATAAAAACTTAAAACTTTAGATTCCAATTTTATCATATTGATTGCCGTTGGGGGTCGGCGTGGTCGAGTCGGTAAAGCTCATGGTTGCTAAACCGAAAAGTCTCGAGTTCGAACCCTCGGGCAGATGAGGCTCGTTAGCTGGGGACAGCCACTCTTCTAGGAGAGACAACTCCAAATCAAACAACTGCTGCCTTGTAGTTTGTTCTTGGTTTGGAAGCAAATCCAAAAAGAAAAGCAGGCTGAAATCGGAGGCAATGGCCTCAATGGCGCATAACCAGTTGACACGTAATCCTTAATTGTGATGGAAGCATGGTCGAGTCTGCAAAGCTCATGGTTGATAAATTCGAAAAAAAGTCTCGAGTTCAAACCCTCTGGTAGATAAGGCTCGATCCCTCCCAACACTAAAACTTAAGAACGAAGAAGAAGAAAGAAGATTGCGGTTGTTACGATGTGATGTAGTTTTAGACTTTAAAAAACTAATAAGCTATACGGTCCGAGCGTTGTCATCGATTTTGTCAAGTTTTGTTGTGTCATAGTTGGTCAAGATTCTTAGTTTCGGAGTTGGTCAAATATAGTTTGTTAAATTGACTGACATATTTTGGTTTTGTTACTATTAATTATATCATTTTTTTTTTTGTGAGTGTCAAGTTTTGTTTGCCTAGCTTGTTAGTACTGACATAAGTTCAGTCAGTTTTGTTCGTTTTTAGTCCATTTCGTCGGTCAGTTTTGTAGATTATATTTTAGCTCTTTAATACAGCGTGTCCTTCTTAATATTGCGCCTAATTATTTTTAGTTTTCTTTGTCAAATCTTTTATGGATTTTTGTTTTTAACACCATTTCCCCACGTGTTAGCACGGTATTGCCCGGTATAATCCATATTTACTAACCTAATTTTTGTTAATAATAAAAGAAGTCGAGTTATCAAATCCTGCTAATCACGTTCAGAGTCAGCCATTAAATTTTCCTAGCTCTGGCTATCGGCTCTTTTGTTCACGAGAATAAAGGTAATAAAGTGTTTTATGATGTTTATCTACAACACCTTGACCTTTGAAAATTACAGGTAAAGACCGGCGGAGCTGTCCTGTTTTTTGCCCGCGCCGTGTAAGACCGGAAATAATTGTGTGGACAGAAAGAGAAACACGGTTTGTCGGGAGCCCGGGGGAGGGGGATGTGGGGTGGGGCAGGAGGATGTTGACGTGTGGGAGAATAAATTTAATTTTTCATAAGGTGTGGGGTGTGGGGAGGTTGTACAGATAGGTAGGGTTAGTTTATGTAGGGGGTGTGTAGGTAGGGGTTGTATGGTTAAGTGGTGTGTAGGTAGGGGGTGTATGGTTAAGGGGTGTGTAGGTAGGGGTTGTATGGTTAAGTGGTGTGTAGGTAGGGGGTGTATGGTTAAGGGGTGTGTAGGTAGGGGGTGTATGGTTAAGTGGTGTGTAGGTAGGGGTTGTATGGTTAAGTGGTGTGTAGGTAGGGGGTGTATAGTTAAGGGGTGTGTAGGTAGGGGTGTATGGTTAAGGGGTGTGTAGGTAGGGGTTGTATGGTTAAGTGGTGTGTAGGTAGGGGGTGTATGGTTAAGGGGTGTGTAGGTAGGGGTTGTATGGTTAAGGGGTGTTTAGGTAGGGGGTGTATAGTTAAGGGGTGTGTAGGTAGGGGTGTATAGTTAAGGGGTGTGTAGGTAGGGGGTGTATAGTTAAGGGGTGTGTAGGTAGGGGGTGTGTCGGTAGGGGGTGTGTCGGTAGAAGTGCAGGTAGGTGGTGTATGGTTAAGGGGTGTGTAGGTAGGGGTTGTAAGTTTAGGGGTGTGTATGTAGGGGGTGTATAGTTAAGGGGTGTGTAGGTAGGGGGTGTATAGTTAAGGGGTGTGTATGTAGGGGGTGTATAGTTAAGGGGTGTGTATGTAGGGGGTGGGGTGGATGTGTTGTCAGCCTGGGGTGGGGTGAATATAAGAGGAAGAGCGTTATGTATGAACGGATTGGGTGTGTATATAACCTACTCTGGGAGTGAGAAAGTTCAGCTGTTATTTGGGTGTATATAGTGAAGGTAGGGGTAGAAGTTTTGTGGAAGTAGGCAGTGGTAGTGTTTGTATTGTAGGTAAGGTGTAAACCCTCAGAGTTTCTTTCGGGCAGTTCTTCACGTGGCGCGGCGGGGGGGGGGGAGTGTTTCTTTTCTATATAAATAGAATGTATATAGCAAATATATATTTTTCCAGTGTTTAGCCAGGGAAAAAAATATAAAAGAAACACTGGAGACTGTGGAAGTCTATCACCACCCCTCCCTCATCCCACGAAATAAATAGAAAAAAATTATATAGAAAATGTATATCCCTCCCCCCCCCCCCCCCAAATTTTGTTCCCCCACCCCTTCCCCCAAGAAAAAATGTCTGAAAGAAACAACGTGTACGCAGTTGTTATGTAGGGGTGTACATGGTTGATGTGGGTCTGGGATATAGACGTTTTAAGTATACTTGGTACTGTGTGTCTCTTTAAATATTTCAGGAGAAAATCTACGAAAAGAAACAGCCGTATGCGTGGTGTGTGTTTTAGACACACTAAATAAATAGTTAATTAACTCAACTAATTTACACAGTCCACAATTATTTGGTACTCACCAGCAGACTTCACATCTCCATTGGCGGCTACATCCAAACAGAAGAAGCAGACGACCACCAAACGTCGCAGGTACAATATCCAACGTCCAAGCGAGGACCACTGACCGTTAATCCCCATGTTCGTTAATCTGGTCTGGCACTTCACACCGCTATCTCCACACGACGTAATAATACATCCACGCGACAGAAGAAAAAAAATCAAAACACCACTCAGTTCAGTCCAAATCTACCATCCGGATATCCACAATCCAAGTGTATCCACCAACACGGGGCTTGCATCCAATCCAGCAGCGGATCTCTCTGTGACATCAAACACGGGCGCGGGATCTGAAGAAGGAAAACAAAAATCTTGCTCAACTGTTTTGTTACTATCACATGTGCTTGTGCCTGGCTAGGGGTTGAGATAAAAGAATACCATCACAAACCGAGCCGGGGCTCGAGTAATAGAAACCACAACAAGGTCCGCGGCCACCAGCTTGTACATCACGAGATAAAAGAACAATACAAGGTGGAGAGAAAAGAAAACGTACTAAAGGTAAAAGTTAGGTGTAGGTTTACTATCCAGGCCAACACACATTCTCTAACGGGCTCTTGCTGAGAGCTTTTTGTTGAAGTTTGTTGAAAAAAAAGCTAAAAGCTATGTAAACTTTGTCGCCCCTCCTTTTGACGCGCAGGGAACATTCCCCCCGTGTACACCAGCTAGCATACAAAGTGCCGGGTCATATGCTAATCAGCGGGGTCAGTTTGTTTATCTCGTGCAGTGACGCTGTGTCTTTGTTGTTGTCAGGGGCGGGCACGGTGTGTTGGATAAGGACAAAATGCACCGCTCATTAGGAGCCGCTAGTTGTATGCTATTTTTAGTACTTTTTTTTTAAAGTTCGTCGGCTGGGCATTAATGTTTTGTATCAATTGTTTTGCCGACGATGTCGTCGCTAGAGCTAGATACGGGTTTCGGGTAAAGGATACAAGCAAAAACTAACATCAATACCGTCTTACTGGCGATTTTAGAAGGACCGAATTTATTTTTTTAGGATGTATGATTTTTATTTTGTTGAAATTTTAAATAAAAACAACAATTATACGTTCTGACAATTTGTTGTGCTAGTAACTCGAAAAAAAAACAGGAAAAAAACAGAAGCTAATAGAAGTAACACTAAATACGCGTATGAACAATTTATTTCAACAGGTAATTTCTAAGTAAAGCCACACTAAGCACTGGCTCTGTTGTCCATCTGATACTCTCTGTCTTTTAGTAGCATGGGTAATGTCCAAGACTTATGTTGAGTAACGGCCCTCGCCTCTCCCCCTCAATCAGGACCTGTCCCACGTGGTCCGCCCAGATTTGAACAACGTGAGTCGCGTGCATGATTCGACACGACAACAGTGCTCTTATCCAATGAACAACGTCAAGACAATCTTGACTCCAATAGAACAATGCAAGCAAGGGACGAGAGGGCAGCGAGGGATGAATTTGAATACAAAAGAACCCGAGTGAAATGTTTTTTTTTAAACAAGGATATAAAATAATGGCATGTCATAAAGAGCCTATATACGGTTGAGTTCTGGTATGAAAGTGACGGGATAAAGTGCTGATTACACTTTACCTGTCGAGGTCAGGGATACACATCAATTCTACATGATCTGCCCTATGTTACATTTTGACTTGCAAATGTATTTTACGAGCTCATATTAAACGATAAATGAGCTAACATGCAATTGAGTACATCCTAGAACGAGCTATTGAAGATGGGTACCGCCATCAAGAATCAGTTGAAGATGGGGACCGCAGTAAATAAACCATTGAAGATGGGTACCGCTATAAAGATCTATTGATAATGGGTACTGCCATGAAAAAGCTATTGAATATGGGTAAGACCGTGAATAAACTATTGAAGACGGGTACCGCCATAAATAATCAGTTGAAGATGGGGTACCTCCATGAACGCGCTATTGAAGACGGGTACCGCCATGAAGAATCTGTTGAAGATGGGTAACACCGTGAATGAACTATTGAATATTAGTACCGCCGTGAAGAATTAGTTGAAGATGAGTACCTCCATGAACGAGCTAATAAAGATGGGTACCTCCATGAACGCGCTATTGAAGAAGGGTACCGCCATGAAGAATCAGTTGAAGATGGGGTACCTCTATGAACGAGCTATTAAAGATGGGTACCGCCATGAACGATCTACTGAAGGTGAGTACAGCGGTGAATCAGTATTTGAACGTGCTATTGTTTCCGCTGCCAGCCCTCCCATTATCTGCCACAGACTCCCCAACACGCCGGCACTAGAGAACGACATTTTCGCCGGCGCCTCGTCCATGACTGACGTCCCGAGCAGGGGAATGCGAGCAGGGAATGCGAGCAGGGAATGCCCGCTGGCTGGCCGGTGAAATGTCAGAGTGCGGGGCCGTAATGGCCCAGGTGCCTACAATAATAATCACGTTACTCTTGTCTCACTTTAACGCCACGGACGGCTATTAAACTTCCGGGGTCTGGACTACACGGGGTCTACTACAACATCGGGGGGTCGTGGCCTGAACATGAGAACCCTTGGTCTTCAAACTGGCCGTATTACCGGCTATTTAACTCACTGGGTCGTGTCTAGACGAGGTTTTTAAACACCTGGGGTTGTGGCCCCAACACGATTGAGAACCGTTGGTCTTCTAGATCAGGCTGCATAACCGACTAGATAACTTTATGGACCGAAACAAAACAAGATATGTGCAGAGTATTTGGGGTTTGATCAGAAAATAGTGTGAGGATTACTGGTCCATTGTATGAGGATGTGCACGATGCTTGACCGGGACAAGGCGTATTTTACTACAGAGGTCCCCCACACGGGTGTTATCACCCCAACAATGTTTACAAAAACAATGTTTATGTAATAAATACAATAGTATTTTATTAAACGTATTGGTCCAGGACAACACTTCATGTTCTTAACATATGGGTTCGATGGGGGAGGAGGGGGGTGAAAGCCAAATTATTGAGAACCACTGTTTTATCAGATTGTATTTCATTACCAGCGATTGAAGTTCCCAGCCTGGGGTGATATGGTGTTCACTGCCCACAAGGGTCAGAGCCTGAATAGTACTGAGAGCGACTTATCTAACGTATTAAGTAGAGCGTGGGGGTTAAATCAGTTTTGTGTTGTTGTTGTTTTACTTTTAGTTGTGTGTACGCAGTACTGCTATGTGTTTTTGTTTTAGTTCTGTGTACGGGATAAAGCTATGTTCATGTGGTTCAGTTATGTGTACGTGGTACAAATAGATGTACACCAGACAGATTGAGCCATTCGAGGCTATGTTTTTGTATAACTACCCTTAATTAGTATAACTACCTTTAATTACCATGGTTATAACCAATAACCATTCCACACACTTAAAATCCTAACCTAAACCACTCCACCAGCAATACTGGCTCAGAAAAAAAAAATCTATAATACATTCTCCCGTTTTAGTTTTTATAAGAACCGCCGCACACCGACCTATTGTTCCGGAGCCTTTAGGTAGTTAGGTAAATTTACTGCCCTAATTTTACCAATTTACCACAAACACTACCACTCCGGGGGCACTTTGTTCGGCCCCATTTCTATTGCCCACCTATTGCTTTATTTAAAAACCGTTCCTCGTGGAATAACAAACTCCTTGCCGGGAGTGCCCTAAGACGTTGGGCCCCCCTAGACAGCTGCCTAGTCTGCCATAACATAACCCCGGGACTATGTGTATACACAATCTTTACTAGGTGTTAATGAAGGTAAAAAAAAATTTCTATAAAGAAGTTTTAAAAAATTACAGTAAGAAAGCCAGACTCGGCAGGTGACCTACGAGGCGGAGTCGAGGGCAAAAAAAAAAACTTGCGAGGTACAGCTGCCAGGGTGAGTAGATAATGTGGTTAACGGTTAAAGCTGAGCGTGGAGAATTAATGCTAAGCGATAGACTCTAATAGCTTTTAAATTGGTAATTAAGATGGGATGGTGTTATTAGTACAAGTGGTGTGGGGGGGGGGGGGGTGTGAGGGGGGCGGGGAAGGAAGTGGTGAAGAGGGTGAGAAATGAAATGTTGGATACAAAACATAGGTCCACTCTCACTGCGGGTTATTTCTGTCGCTACATTTGCTATTTTTAGATACGAGGTTTCCAATTATTATTTTTTTAAATAATTGGATAAAAAGAAATTTTCCCTTATTAACAAATCTAGAGCGGATGCGTTAGAGAGAGAGAATGATTTCACAGAATAACTAGTGGCGAGGGCAACAAGTTCAACGTGTTAATTAGTGGGCCTGCAACTATCGAAAGACAAGTTGTGTTTATAAAGCTGACATTTTGTTTTTGCTCACAACGTCGGCACATGGCCGCTAGACTGTGTACAGATGGGGATGAGCAGGCTCGGGTCAGGGGACAGTGTGCACGGGAAGGTCAAAGTTCAGCCAGTACATTTGTAGCAGTGTTGGTAGTGTGCAGGACGTCGAGAAATGAAGAGTGTAGACAGGTACCCCGGGGTCAAACAGGAGGGGCCCCACTGAAGGGGCCACACTGGACGAGGCCACACTGGGGCGGTGGGGGGGCATACTGGAGGGGCCACAATTGGGGGGAGGGGGACGGCACAGTTGAGGGGCCACAATGAAGAGAGACACTGGAGGGGCCATACTGGAGAGGGCTACACCTGGGGGGGGGGGCACACTGAAGGAGCTACACTTGGGCGGTGTGGGGGGGGGGGCACACTGGATGGGCTACAAAAATGGGGGGGTAACACTTGGGGGACAACACTGAAGGGAGACACTGGAGGAGCCACACTTTGGGAGAGTCACACTGGAGGGGTTAAACTAGTTACATATAACAATGGCCACAGTACCCTACAACCACATTGAAACACAATACCAACAAGTACAAAGACCCACAATAGCCCACAAGTACATAGGGTCACACCACAATACAGGCGCCTAAAACCAGCCTTCCTTAAAAGTACCAGGGACCACAGTATCAGGACCACAATACCCCAAAAGTACATTGGACCACAGTAACTAGGAGCACCCTACCCTACAAGTACCTAGGAGCACCCTACCCTACAAGTACCTAGGAAACCCTACCCCATAAGTACCTAGGAACACCCTACCCTACAGTATCTAGGAACACCCTACCCTACAAGTACCTAGGAACACCCTACCCCACAAGTACCTGGAACCACACTACCCCTCGGGTCATATTACTCTAACCAAAAGCAACAAGGCAGGCACGTAAACGCCTCGACCAAGACATCTGAAGTTATCCAGAATTGTTTATGGTCTGCTAGGGCCGATGTGGTGGGAGGGGTGTGGTGGGGGG